TCCTGTATTTGATTGTATTTATCTGCAGTTAGTTACACGAATTCAGTTATGAGATGAAATCGGATATGGATAAAATTGTTTAGGGATGAACGGGTTTAAGAGTTTTAAGAGTTTAAGAGTTTTTAAGAGTTTAAGAGTTTTTAAGAGTTTTAGCCAAATGCTTTATAATATAGTATAGATATGCCATCACATACTTTAAAAAAACATCTAAAGATAACTCGTAAAATCAGAGGAACCCGGTTTAGAAGTGGGAGGGAAGTTTCGTTAGGGTTTACTAAAACCTATAGATTAGTTGCAAAAACATACATAAAGTTGGGGCTGATCAGTTGGATGAAATTACGAAGATGCCCCTTGTGTAGTACAAATACCCTGGTCTTCTCTAGATTTTAGGGTTCTTGCCGAACCCCCTCAAACCTTCTTTCTTCCTGTTCGTCGCTCCAAAGTCTTCCAATTTATACATGTGTAATGCATCATCTTGATTCGTAATTCCTTGTTCCATATGCTTCTTCAATCCGCACTCCAAACCCTAGCAAAATCTCATGATGCAGATTTTGAATTCAGACGAAACAGTAGCTGTTCCAAGTGATAACCAGGATTGCAGCACCGCCCCAACCGAAAATATTGAAGAAGAATTGGAGGAGGAGAACTCAAATATTGAGTCAGCAATTGATGCTTCCGGCAAGACTTTGGATCTTCAGCTTTTCGATGAGAAGAGGATTAGTGATGGGGATAATGCTTCGATTGAGGGTTTATACGTGTACAAGAATATGTTCAATTTGATTCCTCGATCGGTAGGGGGTTTGGTTAAGTTAAAAACCCTTAAATTCTTTGGAAACGAGGTCAATTTGTTTCCTTCGGAATTTGGGAACTTGGTTAACCTCGAAAGATTGCAAGTGAAGATATCTTTGCCAGGGTTGACGGGTTTACCTTTGCAAAAATTAAAGGCCTTGAAGGAGCTAGAGCTTAGTAAGGCCCCTCCCAGGCCTTCAGCGTTTCCATTACTGGCCGACATCATGGGACTTGAATGCTTGACGAAGCTATCCGTCTGTCACTTTTCTATACGGTAAATTTAGTTTTTATTTCTATTTGTTACTAATTAACTTGCTGTTCATGGCTAATGCCAAATCTTTTGATGAAAGCTTAACTAATTTAATCAAGGAACTGACTTTTTTCAATCATTAACTTCTGAAATGGCTATGAATCATATTCATCGGAGGAATGGATCATAGGAATGTTCCCTTCTATTGTTTGTCTGTTTACTTCAGAATGACATTAGCCGTTAGTGGAGAAGAGTAGAATTTTAAAAGTGCTTCTGAATCGTTCAACTATTGCCTTATTCCCGGAAACCAGGCTCCATGTCCTCCAAGGCCAATTGTTTGCTTTTCACTTCATATTGATTGTATCCAACACTTTTACACTGTATCTGATATGTGCTCTTTCGTGTCCTATGCGACAAGAAGGGCCTATGATTCATAAGGCCAACACAGTAGTCACTGGTGACTTGTTCATGAAATCTGTAAACCTTGTGAGCAGATATCCTGATCTGAATTATTAGAATATGCACCTGTTTACTTAGTTTATTTGATGGTTTGACATGAGCATCATTGTTAAAGGAGAATTAGGTGAGGATCATCTTGCCTTGATCAATCACACATGCCTATATGATTGCATGACATGGTGATGGTGGGAAATGGCCCTCAGCATTTCTATTTAGTTCAAAGAACTTTAATGCACTAAAATTAACAGAACAGAACAAAAATAAAATCATAAAGGAGGGTTGCATTTGCAATAAAGATATAAATAATCTAGGAGCACCTCTTCTCTTTTTAAGACACAAGTCGATGCAGAGAAACTGTAAAATGATGTCTATATTCTAAGTGGAATTGACAATGGTGATTAGGAAACTGTGAATGGAATGGTTCAATTAGTTTGAGACTTATCATGTTAACATAATTGTGTATCTTAGATGCACGTGCAAATTCATGTATTTTGAATACTTCTACTACATTGTACCTCACTTCTCCTGGGAAATTTTGATACACATCTCTCTCATCATAGGCTATGACTCCTTGTTGCCTTAGCTTGCCTCTCTCCTGTACAACAATAACGGATTGGAGGCTGGAGATTGGCTTAGAGTTTATATGGATGATAACATTCGACATGCATGTCATTCTTGTTTTAATAAAACCTGCTTAATAATGAGTGCCATGAGAAAGTGGATGGTTGTATGATCCGAAATGGTTGAAACTGAAAGTTGGCTTGAGAGTCAGGACAGCAGTACTTGCATCATCATAATTGATGTGGTACTGATTATTCTTTAATTTCTAATCACATTCCAATATTATTGGTTCCTTTATGATACTCTAGTATTATCGTGGTTGCCCTTTGTATATTCTCTAAAGATGCTCAAGACACTTACAGCAAATGGAAAAATATAGGTTGCTTTTCTTGATTGTTCATGATGATAACCATCTTCTTAACTTAAACGAAACTGATGAAAGTTGTGTTTAATATTTTGCAGATATTTGCCTCCAGAAATTGGCTGTCTTACTTGTTTGGAGTACCTAGATCTCTCACACAATAAAATGAGAAATTTACCCACAGAAATAACTAATTTGAGTTCCTTGATAACATTAAAAGTCGCTAATAATAAATTGATTCAAGTACCTTCAGCCTTGTCATCTCTCCAAAGATTAGAGAGCTTGGACCTTTCAAACAACAGGTTGACATCCTTGGGGTCTCTTGAACTTGACACAATGCATAACCTTCGGAGACTAAATCTGCAGGTACATATAATCAACTTAACCCCTTTTCCAAGTCAATTTCATCTGGAAACTAGTAGGAAACCATTATAAAATGAATACGCAAATGTTTAAGATAGTCAATGAGCAATGCTATATGCTTCTAGTGTACATTATATTGCACCTGAAGTGCATTGAAATCTGTAGTTGTGTACAACTGTTTCTGGACCACCAGTAAATGCTTTGTTGACTTGATCTTGATGGAGGTAATATTGTTCTTTAATTGTAGTGCTATGTACTTTCTTCCATTTTAGTATCTACTATCTAGGAATTGCATGTTCGACACTTTGTATCGTTTTTTAGGATATGCTTTAATGCTCATATATATCATCCAACTCCAATTTAGTCTCTAGAAATTACATGTTCGACATTTTGTTTCATTTTTCCGGGTATGCTTTAATGTTAGTGTTTATTATGACAGATCAAGTTCGCATTTGTACGAAGTTGTTTTAAGTTGCTTCTTATTGTTTTAACAAGAAATGTACCTTGCTACCAAAGGGCCTTTGGCCTAGCGGTATCATAGCCTTTGACCTTCTAGGAGGTCAGGGGTTCAAGCCTCACTAAAGGTGAGGAGGGTGTGTGAGTTTATTTGTTACATTTGCCGTATATAAATATTATATACTTCAAAAAAAAAAAATGTACCTTGCTGTGTGTGGTATGTTGTATGGATGTGATGTGTGAATGGATTGAAGTATTACTAAGTAACGAGAAGACATGTTTGTTTACACTTTGGAATGGAATGGACCATTAATTGAGAAATCTCTTTTCATCTTCTTTAGTGCTTTTCAAATTTGTGACGGGTGTTTTTCTATTCCTTATGGGAAGGGACAGAAAGTTACACGAATAGTCTCTGTTCAAGTCATACTCCAAAATACAAAACCCAGTTTCTTTATCTTCTCCCGAATAAGAACTCAACAAAATCCTCATTTTGACCATACATTGATCTGTAAGTTGTTCACATCAACCCCTCTATAAAGCAAATTTGAAAGTGTCCAAACACTTCAAAGTTATAATTAGTTCTTAGGAAGATACAATGGATTTCTGGATTAGAGCATTTGACAAAGAACCGCCCTCTCATCTGAATCATTTGAAGGATATCCTAGGGGTTGACAAGGACTTTTTAAATCAATCCATATTCTGGTACATGGTTTTTTTTTTTCAATTATATCTGATGCTTTCAGTTGGATTCTTGATGGAACTGTTTTTTTCTTCGTTGTATCCCTTGGCTTGCTTTGAGTGGGATTATACTAATCTTTTTGCAACTATGTAATTATAAATTCCATAATGGTCTAACATAATAAAGACATACACTATCTGTTCTTCCAAGGACTAGTTACGAGCAATGGATGATTTGGATTTTACCTTACTCCATTCATTTCTACAGCACCAGAGTGTGCCTTCTACCTGCTTTTCAGCGTTCCAATGCTTCTTACGTAATGTTGATACATGCAAAAAGAAAGTTCTGCTAACCGCAGTGTCGTGACATATGCACAAAAAATCATTTGGGCATACACCTATATAACTGTTCTTTTAACACTATTAGGATGCGTTAACTATTTTGGGTTTAATACATCAGGCACAGGCAAGGCTTTCTTTTTTGATTGTATCATTGTTTCTGCTTCAACTTTACTTTCTGAATGCCTATCATTTGTTTGTCATTCTAGCATAACTGATACCGTTTATATGTGCTATGTTCTAGTGCAATAAGCTTCTAAGTTTTCCTCAAATACCTCTGTGGATAAGCTGTGTTCTAGAGGGGAATGATGAAGACATGACCAATGGTGAATTCATGAGTTCGTCTGTGGAGATGGATGTATTTGAAACTGCTGTCACAGACCTTCATGGTGATATAATTAATGGTAGGGACAGTTTGTGTCTTTCTTCCTATCACCACTTTATTGGGCATTTATTTTTTGAGAGATTATGATGTCTACTCCTGTGAAACTCACTTTAACTTTGAACTAGGCTCTCCTGCCTCCTTGTCGAGTCATGTAACCGGGTGCTCGTCAAATAGATGTTTTGCAGCAAGAAAGCCTAGAAAGGGGTGGAAACGGCGTTACTATTTGCAGCAGAGAGCTCGCCAAGAGCGTTTAAACTGCAGTAGGAAGTGGAAGGGCGAAGATTCTGCCCATATTACGACTCAAAATGCAACTGCAAATTGTGAATCCTGCAATGCTATTGTCCCATCTGAATCCCTTGTCGAAGGTTCATCAGTCAATGTTGGTGATGATGAGGATAACAAAGAATTGCTTGCTGCGGATGGTGAGAGTGGGAATTCACTTGGTGCTTTCAGAAAGGATATTAGTTCGGAACAGGTTGATGCACATAGCTGTGGATGTGTTGCACTTCAGTCTGTTGACAGCAAAGAGATTGAAGATGATTGTAGCAAGGATGATGATGCATTGGGTTCTCCTACAGAGGTGAGTCAGGCACAGGATGAGCACTTGTTGGTCGATAATTCTTGTGGTAATACACAGTCAAAGAGACATTCTGAGAAGGATCTTGATAACCCTAAACCCAGAAAGTCAAGGAGACCAACGGACAGACACTTAGATCTGTCCACTAAATATAGTACAACGTCATTCTGTAGCATTGAGGACCATCTGCCAGATGGATTTTATGATGCAGGACGAGATCGTCCTTTCTTGCCTCTCAGTAGTTATGAGAAAAACTTGCATCTTGGCTCACGTGAAGTTATTGTCATGGATAGGTAGTTTCTTGCTCTTATTATGTATCATATTGAACTATATGTTTCCCCAAACAAATATCATTGGAAGACTGATGATAAGTCTTTTCTTTCTAAACCGAAACTTAAATCTTTGTTAATCGATTTTGTTTAGGGAAAGAGATGAAGAGTTGGATGCCGTAACACTTTGTGCTCAACAATTATTGTTCCATTTAAATCAGATCTATGGTTCCACCAAGGATGCTGGGGACATTTTACTTGATAAGTTACAGATTGCCTCCTTGCTTGCTCTGTTTGTGTCTGATCACTTTGGAGGGAGTGACAGGAGCACAATGGTTGATAGGGCGCGAAAGTCTGTATCTGGATCAAACTATAACAAGCCATTTGTCTGCACATGTCCAACTGGGAACAATGACAATATAATGAAATCTGCAAAACAGAGTCTAAACTCCGCAGAGGATGCTGTCCTTCTTAGCCTGTGTGAAAAATCTCTTCGGTTGGTAAAAGCAAGGAGAAATTCAATTGTTGTCCCTATTGGGACTCTACAATTTGGTGTTTGTAGACATAGAGCATTGCTCATGAAGGTAATTTGAACTACTAGACTTGGATGTGATAAATCTTTGATTTATCTTGATGTCTCTATGCTCCTACTTTCTACTTACTAATAATTCCTTCTCTTTTTTCCATTTGCGTTGATTTTAGTACCTTTGTGATCGAATGGAGCCCCAAGTACCATGTGAACTTGTGAGAGGATATTTGGATTTTGCTCCTCATGCTTGGAATGTAGTTGTTGTCAAGAGGGGTGATTCAGAGGTTCGGATGGTAGTGGATGCATGCCGTCCTCATGATATAAGGGAAGAGATGGACCCAGAATATTTCTACAGGTATGTCTCCTATGCTATAATAAGTTTGTGTGTGTTTGTACATGGCAGAATACATGATGACCATTTTAATGGAAACCCAATTCTCAAATTCAACCTTGGGTATTTGCAGGTAATAATATTGCATGAATATCCAAGGTGAATGCTCTTTTTATAAATCTTCGGACTTGTTAGCAATGCATACACATCAGGATACAACCACATAAACAGAGTGAATAACATTGTTCTAAAAACAATCCTATGTTCTTAAAGTTGAGCAAGAATCAGCTTTTGTGTATTCTGCCTACTTTTTGTTGTTATTAAATGACACATTTTGGCAAGTGTCCTGATTCAATCTTGTCTATAGAGAGTTTATGTTGATATGTTGGTCAAGATATATTACTAACGTCACTACTTGGTGAAACTAGTGACTGAAATATTAGTTATTTTTCTTGGATATATATTACATTTAACTAATTTCAAAGTTAAAACATATATGTCCCCTCTCAGAGATAAAAAAAAAGTTGACACAAAAACTGTCTGGAAACCAACTTTTAAACATCCAACATGTAAGTAAATGCTTGTAAATGGAATAAATTGTGAAATTGGAGATCAACATGGATAGGCACTTGTGACATCTCGTGCTGCTGCATTTCTCTATTTATATTAAGATGTTGATTCTTGTTTTGCTAAAATGTGTTCATTACCCTAGGTAAAATTGTAACCAATTTGTGAAATGCAAATTTCTAAAAATCCATGTAGTGGATCCTTGTCATTTTGTTGGTTCACCGATTAACTGTTAATAGACCAAGGAACCTTTCCAACTATTATGAATGCTGTCTAATTGACGAACCATCTACACATGCTGTTTAAACAAAATTATTCTGTATCGCTGGTAGTGAGGGAGTGTGTTGAAGTAGTATTTGTCCCACATCGCCAGGCTGTCAAGGTCTACATATGATATACATATACAGGTATGTATGTATGTATATATGTGTGTGTAGAGGGCTGGCAATTTAGGTAGGGATGGGTTTATGGCTTTATTTGCTTGATGTAGGTTTTCCTTTCCGTTCCTTATCCTGCCTTTTCTTATGTGCTTATTGTACTGCATTGTTACTTTTCTTCCTTATTTTCTCATGATTCGCACACCTCATGCTGGTATTTGTTCTTTATGACTGCATGCTTTCACTCCTGCACAAGCCGAAATAGCCGCTGTACTCTTTTGGGGTAGAGGTCAGGTCTATGTGCACCTCACCCGTCAGACCCTACTAAGAGTGGGATTTATTGGGTTGGGTTTGGTTTGGTTTGGTTATGTGTGTGTGTCTGCGTGCATGTGGATGGGGGGGAGGGGGTTTGGCCACTTTTCTTCTTTGAGCTAGCTTTTGGGAGTGACTTCCAGCGAAACCCATTTATGACATGATTGATTGTGTGACAATTTGACCATAAATTAGTACTAGAGAGTAATTGTATTTTAGTCTATACATGATGATGTGCATGTAGTTGGGTATCTACTTGGCTGTCTATGGTTGCATATTTACCAGGTTGGCTGCTTCATTTTTAGGTACATCCCCCTCAGTCGGATCAATGGTCCTCCAATTACTGATGCGAGCCCTGATGTGCACAATTCTTTTCCTTCCCTTTCTGCATGTGAGGAAATTGAGGAAGGAGGTTTGACAACCCTTATCCAGTGCAACCTTGGATCGGTTGAGGCTGTTGCTAAGGTCTTGATAACTTCTAATTCCTACTGATATAATCGTTCATTTTGCACTTAATTTCTGCTGTTTGCAATTAAGTATACAAAGTTATTTTTCTATTGTCTGCATGTTAATTGCAAGGGGAGCCATGTAAATTTCACTTTACTGGACTAGAAGTAACGTATGGAAGATCATGGGCATTTTAGAATCGTTCTGCATATACAAACATAATTCTTTGTTGTACTATGCTTAAAGTGAAAAATATATCTTGTGTTTACCCGTTGCACATATATATCTGTAGGTGCGCACATTGGAAGTGAGTGAGAGCTCTGCAGACGAAATTAAGAATTTTGAATTTAACTGCTTAGGGGAGGTGAGGCTTCTGAGCGTTTTGAAGCACCCTTGCATCGTAAAAATTCTAGGCCATCAAATATCTACCAAGTGGCTACCATCTCAAGATGGAATACCAAAGCATCGTATATTGCAGTCCGCCATTTTTATGGAACATGTAAAAGGGGGATCATTAAAGGTGATTTGTCATCAGTTATTTTTAATACAGCTTATCATTTCTTATCTTATACATTACATTAATCCTCCTCCTATAACAGCTCTATATAGAAAAGCTTGCAAGATCTGGTGAAAAGCATGTTCCTGTGGAATTGGCTTTGCAAATTGCTCGAGATGTTGCTTGGGCGTTATCTGAGCTCCATTCAAAAGATATAATGCATCGTGACTTGAAGAGTGGAAATATCGTGATTGATCTGGATGAGAAATCTGATGGAGCACCTGTTGTGAAGCTTTGTGATTTTGATAGAGCAGTTCCCTTGCGTTCTAGCTTGCATACATGCTGTATCGGCCATGTGGGGATACCTCCACCTGATGTCTGCGTTGGAACACCTCGTTGGATGGCCCCTGAGGTCTACCGGACAATTCATGATCGACGTTTATATGGACTGGTATGATACTTTTGTCCTATAGAAGTTTGCTTCCACAAAATTATGAAACTAATATACTCTTATAATAACCGTGGGTCATTATAATAACTGTGGGTCATTGAATTTAACAGTCGTGAAAACCACTAGTGACCCTGAGGGGATTCAAACTGGTGACCAAGTAAGCGGGTTTGGTTGGGCAGTTTACGGCTTTTTTACAACCCAACCCAAGTATGGCGGTTTGGAAAAATCTCAACCAAATCCGACCTTAGCGGTTAATAGTTACATAAATTTGACGAATGAAATACTTCATAGAACTTAAGTTTATAGGACTAAACCATAAAGCGTCCTATCTATAAAGGTTACAATAGGTTTATAAGACGTTTTTCGGGCATTTCAACAAGTGTTTTAGAATGATTTTTAGATAAAGTGTTGTATTAGTTATTTTATAAAAACATTTTGAAAAGTGTCCCGTGAACTCATCTATTCATAGGACACTTGTGTTCATGACACTTTTTTAAGTAGTGTCGTATAGAATAACTAATACAACACTTTCTTCTAAAAGTATCATAAAAATTTGTTAAGACGCCCAAAATCATCCTATAAACATATTTTAACTCTTTTAGATAAGACATTTTTTTGTTTCGTTCTACAAAGTATCATATTAGGACACTTAGACATCCTATAAAATCTAATGTTGTTGTAGTGAAATGTTATAAGTAAGCATTTTCTTTCCACTGAAGTACAACATCAAATGATGGGAGTCTTTGGATTGATAGATTTGTCAATCAAATATCTATCAATATCATTCATATTTTCCGGCATATCAATTTGTTGTTGCTGCAAAAACGATTTCAATAAGCTTCTTTTATTAATTAGATTATTTGTCATCATTCTTTGATCGTGAATCTCTTTTGGTAACCTATACATTTAGCTAAATGAAATACAAACATAATCTCAATAAAAATTATATAAAATATTACACATTAATAATACATATGATAAACATATATATATATATATATATATGTATATATATATAAGATTTTATAAAAATTATATGTTAGTGGCGGGATGGCTAGGCCCAACCCAATTTCAACCCTCCTAATTGGCGGGTAGGCGGTTAGGCGGGTTGGGTTGGGCGGGTTTCACGGGTTGATGGTTTTTTGTACACCCCTACAATGTGGTCAAACCCAACGGCTTACCAGTTGAGCTAGCCCGAAGTGTTGGTTGTCTGTGCTTAGATTGTACTTATTTGACTTGTTATCCTCTAGTGAATGTGACTTTTTCAAAGTGTCTCTAATAAGTTATTTCCTGTTTTCTTGTAGGAAGTAGATTTATGGTCCTTCGGATGCCTACTTTTGGAATTATTGACTTTGCAAGTGCCGTACGTGGGGTTGCCAGAGTCCCAAATCCATGACCTCCTTTTGGTATGCATGATCCTCCAATTATTTTTCTTTTAATTTCGGGTTTTCAAAAAGTTTCACCTATGATACATCAACTTTGGGTATTAAAATGGACATTTTTCAAACTATAGAACCTTAAATAGCCTTTGAAAGGTGTTCTCCAAAAATAGGAACCAACCACGGTATGTTCTATTCCATCCATTGTGCCCATCAAATGACAATTTATAACTGCAAAAATGGACTTTGTGAAGTATTTCTTATTTTATCTCCATCAATAATATGAATTTATGCTTATCTATTTGTCATGAAATTGAAACCTAAAGAATTTATGCTTTTACGTGCTTCATTGTTTGCTTTCTCTATTTCCTTGTTATTATCTTATCTTGATTTCTTCCGCTACTAACCAAGGCCAGTTGGCCTTCAGTCAATGAATGGCTCTATTAAGTGCCCTTTCAAGTGTCTATTTGAGAGAACATTATATTTATTTTCGTAACTTTGCTGTGTCATCTTTGCAATTAGAAGTGAAATTAGAAAAGGGATGCTAATTTGTTATGTACACAGATGGGGAAACGGCCGGTGCTGACGGATGAACTAGAGGGGTTAGGTCCAGCGGAAGATAGTGAAGAGGTGCAACAGAATGCAGAATACAAAAAGAACAAAAAGTTGAGATTTTTAATTGATATATATCGGCAGTGTACCAAGGAGGATCCAAGCGACCGCCCAACAGCCAATGAAGTTTACCAAATGCTGGTCGACTTTGACAAGTAGTATAAGTCTTATTGGTTGCTAATTGTGGATATCCTCTGTATGAGAATTAGTTGCTTATATTTCTTCCCAGGGTATTACTATTACAGCCCAGGTGAGGTGAAGTCATTTATGGATCACATTTACTTCTGTTTGGCAAATTCTTAGCTGTCTATTTAACACGATGAACCCCCTGTGTGGCTGCGACTGGCCTAATGTATTCATTTGGTCAACCGACGCTCCTAGATGTTTTTGAATTTGTTTCAGGTGCATTCATCAAACTCTTGTTCTTCTCTTTAGGGTTCCTTCAAGATCCCACCTCCGGTTGGAGATTAAACAGCCAATTTGGCTCGTTTCATGATAACCCGAAGGTTGAAATCTCATCTCACGTTGGTTTACTTTTCGAGTTACGTTTTGATGATATTAGAACATACATTCTAAGATCCAACTAATTTTGATTACCCTCGGAACAGAGTAACAAAATATTTACTTCGGGGATCTTAAATCATTCTGAAAATGTTTATAGGAATCAACCCATAAGATGGATTGAATCTAGAACCAAAAGACCATAAACCCACTTGATGAATCTACTTTCGAGACGATCATAGGCGACTCAAGCATTCCCCAGATTAGGCGTCGATATGGAAAATTATTGCTAAAGAAACCATAAAAAATGTCGTAAAATTTACAAAATATGAAGTTCAAGGCCTTTTTGAGATTTATTAAAGCTACAAGACAGCATAATATTATCACAATCAAGTTTCAAATACAGAAGAGAATTGAAGTTGACCTCCAAATACATGTATATATATATGGCCATTGTAGCTATATCAGCAATTCTAAAGCATTTACTTACATAAATTACTCACAAAGCATAGCTAGTGTTCAATAAGCTTCAAGGGGCATCCTGGTCTTTTGAACAAAGTTACTAATGTAGTTTCTCCTGGCTGGATGGTCCTCTTGTGGCCTGTTGAATGCAGTCCATACTGGCTCTCCAACAAATAACCTCATCAACTGCATGCACCCAAATCCCAACAACACCTTTGGTCAACATGTTGTCAAGATAAAATTTAACTTTTCAGGTCAAACTGAATACCAACTTTTTAGTCATAGTGATTGTTAACAAGTCCAATAAAAATTCACTACTTTCTTGAAATCTTGAAATATTCCTACTGATTACAGGGCATATTTGGCAAACTAGCTGATAAGTTAATTGTTAGGCTAATAAACTGGTCATGTTTAATAAAAACTAGTTGACAATATAAAATATACCTAAAAGGATAGGGGTTTTCCTCATTTATGTAAGATACAAGGGACATAATTGAAAAACAACCCCTACAGCTTATTAAATACGTTACCTGAAGCAGTATTTCAAAAAGCTAGTGTATGGCTTACCAAAAAAATGGGGCTTTTCCAATAAGCTCAAAAAATAAAGTAGCTATGGTTGCCAAAACATGACCTAGAAGGAGGAGTTTGTTTTGACTTTTAAAGTCAAAGTCCAGGGTGAAATGCTGGTATACTTCATCTTATTTACCTTGATATAGTTGGAGGTGTCTAGGGTGAACCGGTGATATATTCCTGCAGGCAAGATGATGAGATCACCAGCCTTGATCCAAATGCGAACCCAGCGATCATCTTTATCCCTAATATCAAAATACCCACTCCCTTCCAAGCAGTAACGTATCTCTTCATCCGCATGAATGTGCTCCGTATAGAAGTTCTTTAGCTTTTGCTCATAATTCTCCACTTTCTCAGGGCATAAATCCAGCAAATCCTACAAAATAACGTGATCGAAAACCAAACATAAGTATGCATTCAGACTTTCTAAAACTGTACCCAATTCCTTGTGGGAAGTAGATTTATGGTCTTTCGGATGCCTATTTTTGAAATTAGTGACTTCGCAAGGTGATCCTTTAAAATCACTTCAAAAAGATGATCCTTACAGTTACATGTTCAGTTTCACAAATTGATTCAAATTACAACATATCAAGTCAAAACACATGAACATCAAACCAAATAAAAATAACACAATCTATATTGCTATACTATGTATATATAGGGGAAGGTTCAAATGAGAAGAACTGTGGAAACCATGAGAAACGGTATCATTGATGTGTACACACTATATGAATGTCAGTCAGCACATATCCATTGATGAATATACTAATCGACATATACATATGTTGATAGTGCATTACATGCATATACTGATTCTCACAGTTCTCAAAGAAAATTATGTAAATTAAAAAGGGTAGGAGTACCATGTAATTGTATCCTCTGGTAGCCCTAATGTTCTCCAATTCTTCATCCTCCTCATACTTGTCTGGATTCAACTTCCAGTGCAAAACGCCGAGATCTACACAAATCCCAAGCGAACTGATTCAGATTTGGCAGGTTATACTCCATGTTACAGTGATTAACACCTTGATTACAAGTTATTTGTAACTAACAATCAAAACATTCAAATCAAGAACCATATCTGTATGTCGATTTCGAAAGCGAAAATAACACAAAATCTACCTGCTAACTGATCTGGCGACATAAACTCACAGGGATTGCGATGATGAGGAAGCTGTGGATCCTCCCGACTATCATCCATGAACCATGCCTGCAACGAAGAAGACAAGCCAAAAATCATACATCTAATACTGAAAAATCTTCAGATTCAATTGAGAAATAGAAAGGGTTATAGTTAAACTCGCCTGGAGAATCGCCATAGAAAACCAAACAAACTGTACCAAAGTTGCCTCAGTCGTGTGCAATTGAAATCACATATATGTATGGTCTATTGGGTTCTCGAGGTTTCCAAAGATTTTGGCTATATTCTCCTGACACCGTTTGTGGTCAGCTTCCATTGATTTTTGTGGCTTCCATTTTCCCTCGGAGAAAGAAAATCCAACCAAACCGGTGCTAAAGAAAAAAAAATGGTATAGAACCATATCTATATTTATTCTACATTAAATTAAATTAAATTTATCAAAAGTCTAAAAATAATCTTTTAACGCATAAAGTCAGTAACAAATCTAGAAAATTTTATTATTAGGGGAAAACTTAGAGAGTTGGGGACTTGGGGTGTCAAAAAATTCTGAAACTGAATAACTCATCTGAACCAAGACGATTTTGGGTTATTCAGTTGTCGGCTTAACCTATTCAGTTTAATCAAATAAATATAACTTTTTTCATTTTTTGATTAATTTTTACTATTTTGGATAAACAGAGACATTGTACATATATTTTTATTTTGGTTCAACTTAAAACAAATAAAACACAGTACATATTAATAGTCAATAACAAGAAATCAGAGGACAAGAAATTAAATTAAACTAGAAGAAATTAGAGAACAAAAGACCAATATGCTATAAATAAAATATTAACTAGTAGTAAACCCTATATCAAATTAACAAACTCAAATTAAAGAACAAACTCAAGAATCCTAAATCAAATATCAAGAAAAATTAATAATCAACAAATAACAATAATTATAAATCTGTAAAAAAATAAAATGCAAAAAGAAAGTTGGAAAAAAAAACAAAAAAAAATAGTGATGGATCAAATTATTAGAATTATAGCAAATAAAACAAGACAAATAAAATGACTTTCAATGAGTTAAGATTTAGAAATTAGGGACATTAGAGTTTAACTGATTTTAAAATTGGTAACTCCCTGAAATAAAATAAAATAAAAGTTGTAAATGAAATGGTATAGATTAGATTTGGGGATTTGTCTTTTAATTATTGGGGACCTATTTGTAATTTTAGGTTAAAATATATATTTAAAACTATAAATAATGTTCTTTTTTGTGGGTTTCTTATTGGTTTGTTGGGGGCCTGTGCCCCCTATGGCTTTACCATGTATCCGCCACTGTACAAAGTATTATACATTTATGTACAAAGTCTTAAAAACAATTCATAATTCATTAAATACTATTAATTTATGCATTCAGTCTTAAGATTTCTTAATCTACAATTAAGATAACACATAGTACAAGTTATTAATGCACATTATTACCTTTTCTTTTCATGTTCTCAAGATACTTTTAATACATTTCACTCATGTCTTCACCCTCTGATACCTATATGTCTTCTCTTCATCCCCCAAAGTGAGATTTGAACTGATATTCACCATGAGTTATTAAAAGTTATCTCATTCATCTACCATTCAATTGCTCTAGAAGTCTTGGTTTCGTTCTCAGTCTCTTGATTCTTTGCTCTTGGTGTAAATCGAACACATTTGTAGAGTCGTTTAAAAATGTTGGATTTTAAACTGTCATACAATTTTTTTCATCGATAGACTGTAATTGGAATCATAACTCTTATTTATTCAAATTGTATTAATATGTAAGAATCAAGTGTAACTTATATCATCGTTAAATCTTCTCTAATAAAACCAGTGAAACTTCAAAATCGTTAAAATTCACGGCTCCCGCCGCATTGCGTGGGTACACAATTAGTACATATAAATTAAGGGGGTGTTTGATTAGGAGTATTAAAAGGTAATGAATGAAAATGATAATCATTGATTGTGTTTGTTTCAAACAAAGAGTGGAAAATGGAACGAAAAATGATGTTTGGTAACAGATAATTAATTAATGATTATAATAGATTTGGTTAAAAACCATCCCTCCCCAAATCTCGTTTGACGATCAAGTTTTTCGAAGATTAGTCTCCGTGTTAGTTAGGGTTTTCTCCATCTCGATCAAAAAAGGCGAACTCGGTTTTCTCCATCGGATCGAAGATTTGTCTCCATTTCATATTGAAGATTTCGATTTGATTTATCACATCGATTTGTTTATTTCCTCCGATTTGTCAGTGTAGGATTCTACCGGAAATTAATTGTTTAGTTACTAGCACCAACAAGTTTTGGCAGTTTTGCCATTTTTTAGCAGAGATTCAACCAGATTTAAATTATTTACGAACTTGCGCCCTAAATTCACAAATCAATACCTCGAGCAATGTCTTTTGCTTCATGTCCTTCAGTCTCGCAATGATTTCCTAGAAGAAATCCAAAGAAGAAGCTTAAATCTCGACATATTGTATGCTAAAAACGACTCCGATTCGAGGTCCTACCGTTGCCTAAATTGGAAGGTTGGTAAGCCATCATTTTGTAGGATGAGAGAGTTAGTTGTGGTATTGATTGTACAAGATCTTATTCAATGTCACAAGTTGTTGTGGTTCCATCAAAATCAATTAAAGCATGAAATCTCACATACCAACCTAAAATCATAGACCATGAATTGTTACTACAAATACAAATTGGGATAATTTGTTGTGTTATATATTATATGATTATTACATTTTAAAATAATATAATTAATAGTATTTTATGAGATGCATTAAATATGCTTTTGGAGCGTGAGATAAGGCGAACAAGGGCTAAGCAGTTGAACAACCAACCGCATGTGCTTCTAGCAACAATAGCTAAACTAGCGAGATGGCTGCCAAAAACCCTGGAGTCGGCATTGAAATCGGAAATTAACGTCACACCCATCTCTTTGAAAAAGACGAAGGAGCATGGAATGCAAAGTGGCAAATTTTCATATTTACCATTTAACCATTCCAATAACTAGACTAGAATTTGTTAAACATTCAAACAATTGAGGATATAAGTTTATTATTACAAATTCAAATAACAAGAGCACATCCAAATTACACTGCCATATCTATTATTACAACCGATTATTCGATATCGTATAATTATTTTTAAAACGCACTTCTTAACACCCCATTGTAAGGACTACTTTTTTATATATAAAGGTCCAATCAAATGAGAACTAATTAGTTTATGGTAACAGTAAGATCTAATCTTAATCACAAATCAATAGATAAATTATAAAATTTATAATTTGGATAATTTTGAATTAAAATTTTAATACAAGGACATTTTAGGTATTTTGAAACACTTATTTTTTCTCTCTCCTCTCTCCCTCCCCCGTCCTTCGTTGATACCACAATGCATCTTATATGTGCTTGGGTATCACATAGAGATCGTTTGTATGGTCGATCGAAGATGTAACACAGTGCTATCACAATGCATCTTATATGTGCTTGAATATTACACGGTGTTTTTTGTTTAACAGAGTCAATATTTTTAGGCATCACAGTGGTATCACCGGAGAACGGTGGCCGGAAGACGGGAGACAGAGAGAGAAAAGAAAATACCTAAAAATGTCCTTATATATATATATATATATATATATATATATATTAATGTTGAAAATCTATACAAGTCTTTTGATTCAGTAAATGGCATTAAATCATGGTTTATTAACATTTATATATTATTGTTGAAAACCTATGATCTACTACGATACACATGAATAATAAAATCTCGTGTCATGCATCTATGATATCAATTATAATAAAAGTTTGGTAGACTCTTAAACTAATAAATATACATAAAAATTCACCATACGTTTTGATCATATTGAATTGGATTCGGTTTAGCAACCCGTTTTCAACCAGTAAAATTCGTTTGATGTGCTGCTACACAAGGTTGTTCTTGAGGTACATTGTTTCGTCTTTGTGACAACACCATCACCATCACCATCACCATTCACCAGATTAGGTTAGGTTTGGACTGAATTGAAGTAGGTTGATTAGGATTGTAATTTGTGAGTTGAATTTTGGTAGGTGTTGGGATTTATGTCATTGATGGCCGCATGCATTTGCTTGCATGGTCCTCGTGATATTCATTATTAGAATTCCTTTGGCTTCTTTCATTTATATCTTCAACTAATCACCACCACCACTAACAACCACCATTAACACCGCTTTCGCTTAAACAGAAACCATGAATAACTGATAAGTCAAGTTGCACAAGTAACGAAAGCCAAAATCAATGAAAACCCAAAACCAAAACGACTGTTCACATATGTTTTTTAAAGGTCAAATGAATTCTGGGTTTTTATTTTTATAATCGAGTAAACATATTTTCGTAAACCGACTCATTTAATATCGTATAGCTGTGTTTTATAAGTCAATAGGAACTAGATATATACTTGTGTTACTCAGGTGTATTTATGTGTATTGGAAGGGTACTCGTACAATACGCGAGATACATCTCGATATTAATGTTTTATTTTATTTTTTGTCTATGTCGATGTTATAATACGATTTTATGTGTTTTTAAGAAAGCGATACTGATTTTATTTTTGAATAAAATATAAATTTGAAAATATCATAAAAATTTGAAAAAAAAAATATATCATTATTAGTATCAAATTAAGTATTTAAAACTTCTATTTTTTTGTAGTTTATTTAATTTATTTATTTTTATTATAATTTAATTTAAGTTTAACAACAAAATAATTTATTTTTGGTTTAATAATATAACATTTTATAAAGATAATAWTTAAGTATTCTRTTADAACTCAATGATTATCCTAATTATATTTTWGATTTTTTATATTTAAAATATTATGTTTATTCTCACTACAACAAAATCGGGTTTATAGGACACTCCCAAATTATAAACGTCTTAATAGGACTTAGTTTATAGGACGAAAAAAATAAAGTGTTCTATCTAATGGTGTTGTATTAAGTTTATATAACGTTTTTTGATGTCGTAATAAGTTTTTTAGGACACTTTTAATATAAAGCGTCTCATTATCAACTTTATAGGACATTATTTGAAAAAATGTCCTTTAAAAACAAGTGTCCTATAAAAATTTGAGTTTATAGGACAATTTCTCAAAAGTGTCCTATAAAGTTGCTAATGCGACACTTTGTATTAAAAATGTCCTTAAAAGCTTGTTAAGACGCTCAAAAGTGTCATATAAACGTATTACAACACCTTTAGATATGACGTTTTATATTTTGGTCCTATAAATTAAGTCTTATAAAGCGG